TCCGAAGGTCAAGGACGCGGAAGAAGCCTTCCCTTTCGTATCTGTGCAGCCCACCGAAATCCCTTTCATTCTGAATTTGTATTTATTTATTGAATTTTATTCGAATTCTTGTAAATATTCCCCCCCCCGAATTTTCGGATTAATAATGCATTAATTGGCTTTAATATCATTTCGCGCAAGGTTGAAGACGCTTCGAGGCTTTCCTCGAAAAGGGCCATTGTCCCGAAGAAAATAACGCGTTCATGAATTATGCATTTCGTGAATTATGCATTCATGAATCACGAAGTCCTCGCTGCGGCTTATCGAGAAAGCCGGCTGCAATTCCCGGAATTCCCCCCGTGGGGAATCGAAGCCTCATCGCCGAGGTTTTTCCTTTTTGCAATTTTTTTTTTTTTGCACGTTGCATCGGCGGATGATGTCGAAATTTGTGAATTCTCGGAATTGTTTCTCGGCCAGACCGAGTAACGAGAAGTCGGGAATCCCAAACTAGATAATCCCTGATTAATCCTTAATTAATCCCTAATTAATGTACTCGAGTAGATAAAGCCTCACTTCCGAAGAAATCGAGAAGCCCTAGCCGGGAGACACCCAGGTCGCGGTTGCACCGGTAGGTGGCTTAACGAGCGACAAGTGGGCGGCTCAACAGGGGACAAGTGGGCGGCTCAGCATGGATAGAATGGGCCCAGATCACCTTGAATATGAACTCGACCGAAGATGAAGTCGTCACGTCGCGAGGGAGAAGGAGGGGGGGAAGGTGGGGGGGGGGGAAGGTGGGATTCCCTCGCACTTGACCCAGATGCTCCACGGACTCACTCCGAAACGCTTCGCGGCGTCTGTCATTCGGGTCGAATCCCAGATCGGCTGACGAACGGGCGCGGACTCGTGACGCTTGAAGTTGGGCGTGACGGCGACTTCTAACGAGTCGCACCCGACTTCGGCGACAGTGTTGCCGAAACCCTGACAGTGTTGCCGAAATCCTGACAGTGTTGCCGAAACTCTGACGCTTTCGGAGCCGTCGAAGCTCCATGTTTTGTTCCGATAGGCTAAATGATTCGCTGGAAGTACTTTTCCTTACTGCCAGTACTTGAACGCTTGAAACTTGCGAAAAGAATCTCGATCCTATTTTCAGCACTCCGTTTGTCGAAATCTCCGGTTGTTTTGATGTCGATCGGTCCCACATATTTCCAGATCCCGATCGCATGCTTCCAGATCTCAGGAAGTACTCGAAGCACCGAAAGTACTGGGAGTACCTATACAACTTGGCCTCGACATCCGCTGGAAATCGTTTTCCGAAACACCAGACGAAGGAGAGGGAAAGTAATCCCTTCCATAATCCCGTAATCCTCCCGATGATAATTTTATCCATGATCATCTCGTATTGCACAGGCCCGAAAGAACGGTTTCCCGTTTTGAAATGAGGGACTAGAAAGGAGGAGGCGAGTCAGCACTGTCGCGATGACATCCGCTTTTATTCGTCCGTGCGGGCGGAAAATGCGGGTGAACCGAGTCACGTGGTTCGGGGGGGGGGGGGGTAAGGGGGGGGGGGGGGGGGCCTTGGCTTCTTTTCGGTCAGATGCTTATCTGGAGGGTGTAGTTCTGTGGAGACGTTCCTTCCCTCGCTGCTCTTGGCGCTTCAGAGGTTTTTACGAGGCTGACATGCTTAGGGAGTCGGATGCGCTAAATTTTCTGAAAGAGAAGCCAGCCGCTTGGTTTTTTTAAAATATATATTTATTATTATCTTGGAGTCATGTTCGAAGTCATTGCGAGTTTTGGGATCTGCTTCTATTCGGGACCTTCCAGCGCGGCCGTTCGAGTTTCTGCCTTGGATTTGCTTTGTCGGTCGGGTGGGAACGGAGTGGCCTCGGTCTCGCGGCCGAATTCAGAATCGCTCGTGAAATAGCGAGAAATAGCGAGGAATAGCGAGAAATAGGGAATCCGTGGAAATCATCAGGGGGACATTCTTATCGCTTGCGAATAAAATTGCCTAACTTTTGTTCTCTCCATTGGCGACAGGTTTAGTTTATCTTTTACTTCGATCCGAGTCGCTTGCAGTGAAAAAAAAAAGAAACAGGTTTAATAAGAATCGGGTTAGGAGTTGAGCAATTATAGCCGAAACGACGGGAGACGAAAAACGTAAAACTGCACCGATCGAACGACCGCAGCCCTCTCAACTGCCATGGTCCCATAAGGGGGCGGGGGGGGGGGGGGGGGGGGGGGGGGGGGCCCTTCCCAAACGTTACCCCNGGGGCGGGGGGGGGGGGGGGCAGGGGGGGAGGCCCTTACTAAACGTTACCCCCTCATTCACCTATATTTAACCGCTTTTTCACCTAATCTTTACCTGAAGGGTCTTCTGACAGGTTGAAAGAGGGGATTCTCCGATTTTGATCCGAAGCTCAGGGGAAACGACTCCTCCTTGAGCAGGATCTTGAAAAGAGATAAGACTGAAAGGTAAAAATTGCAGTTAACCCAGGGTAAGTTCCCCCTCGCACCTTCGCGCTCGTCTTCGTCATCCTTGCGAATGGAAATATTCTCCATATCGCTCGGTGGCCGTCATGACTGCAAGTCTGTTTCGGTTTGTGTCAGGGGTTTCTTTCTCTTTCTCAAATATGTTATTTGTGTCGTGATGTGACTTGGTTCCTATGACGTTAGACTAAGCTCATCTCAGTGTCTGTGAACTTTCGACTATTCAGCTCGGAATAGTGTAAAAGTGCATTCAGAATTCTGAGACTTATGATCAGACCGACAAGTCGTGAGCTTAGGAATAAATGTTGCCGAGTATTTCACGACGTGATTCTCTTATGCAAGTCATGCTTTTATTCTTAGATCACAACACCTGTATGGGTGTTGTGATTAACATATTTTAATCATAGTCTCAGTGTTAATGTTACACCAATAATATGAAATGACAAGTACATCAGTATTCTTGAAATAAGAGGTAAGTCTGGGGTAGGGGATATTCTGTGGGTAACAAAAGGTAAATGACTGGTAAAAGAGCGGTAAATTGGGGGTAGAAGCGAAACAGGTAAAACTGCGGTAAAATATAGGTAAAAGCGGTAAAAATGAAGGTAAAAAAGCGGTAAATGAGAGGGGAACGGTAAAATTCGGACGGTGAAACTGAGGTAAAATTTTTTTGTAAGGAGGGGGCAGAAACACTCGTCGAGTACTGGAAGTGACGAAGGACGCAGAAGAAGCCACAGCTCTTTTGCATCAGTCACCTTCCAGTCCCATTCGCGCGAATCGGATGAGAAAAGTCTCGGTCGGGAGGATCCTTGAGTCACCTGAGGCACGAAGGAGCAGGATTGCGCTTCCAGCACGAGAGGATGTCAGACGAGCGAGGACGGCCGTGGGAACGGTTAAGGGTGGATGCAGTTTTCTTGGTCTATGAGGTTAGCTTGATCGGTGCTGTGATCTTGGTGTATGGAGTTTTCTTGGTGTATGGAGTTATCTTGGTGTATGTAGTTTTCTTGGTGTATGCAGTTTTCTTGGTGCGTTGAGATGAAATGAAGGGGAAAAGCGGAAGTAGACCTCCGTGACACTCTTGCGCTCTGGGGCGTCACGAAAGAGCGGAAAAAAAGTCGGGGGATGAAGGTCGGCGAGGGAAACGTCTCATCACAGCAACCGTGACAGGTGCGAAGGCCTCACGAAGGCCTCGCGAAGGCAGTCGTAAGCATTCATCTCGAGCCAGGCACGATGACGGGTGATGCAAGGGCTGGGGAATGCGCGGGAGTCTCTTCTTAATCGTTTCCTGCTTCTCGGAACTGGATGGGAAATCCCACTTTTTTCCTCCTGTTTTTTTTTTTTGTGTGCCTTCCTTGGGATGTTTCGCGCCGCGTGAGTGCGTGCGTGTTACGTGCGTGGGATGGGAGATGCCAAAATGGCGCGTAGATGCGATGAAGGCGCGTTACGCCCTCGCGACGTTTCGGGACGGGAGACACCCGAGTCCCTAATTGAGGGATGGAAACCCACGAAAGGGCGAGAACGCGACAAGAAGTGAAAGCAAGGATTCCCAACGTTTATGTCGAGGTTCCGATGTATACGTTTATTTGGAACTAGGCCGCTTCCTGCATCGCATATCAAGTCCCTATCGACCCGCGATCGGAGCGAACCGTACAAGTGAACGGACCTGTTTTGACGCTTGGGTCATCGGAAAGCGCAAGGGCAGTACCATAATGCGCTGCTAACTGGCTTGGGCCAGCTTTCCGATCCATGGCAAGTTCCACCTCGTGAGTTACCTCCTCTGCGTCGCTACCTCCACTTCGTCGCTACTTCCTCCTCGTCGCTACCTCCACTTCGTCGCTACTTCCTCCTCGTCGCTACCTCCTCCTGTCCGTAGCGGTCGCGCGTGGACCAGGATGATGCTGGAATTTCGACTCGGCTGGATAATCTGAGGATGGCGAGATGCGGTTCACAGAGACATCTAGAGGTCGTTGAGTTCGCCTCGCGTCTTCGGAGACAGGACGCGATGGGATGGGAACTTCTGTGGGTTTTTCACAGATGTCGCGGGCCGTCGAGCCCCTCCCCTGAGCCCCGATTTCCTGTTTCTCTTCGCGTTGGCTCCTGCGACGCGAGGCAGGGCGAGCGACAGACGACTTCGAGGACTTCGAGGACTTCCGCCCTCGAGTCGCGTGATTGCATCGATGACGTGCACCGACGGGAGGAGGTCAATTTCAGAGTAAAATTGAAGTTGTTTGAAAACTGGATTAACATGTTGCTCATCCAGGATCCATGACGAGAGAGCAAAACTTTTCCGCTTGAAAAATATTCAGTCGGATCCGTCGAGCAACCGATCGACACCACGCATCCGAACATGTTGAAAACGCCCCCGTTCGTCCTCCCATTCGCCCCTCCCCCTCCGAATCACATTCAAGAGACTAACTCAGGCGAGAAAATAATCTCATTTCCTCCTCTATCTGTATCTCAGCTGAAGAGGGAGGAGGGGGGAGGGGGAGGGGGGAGGGGGGAGGGGAGGGGGAGGATGAGGAGATGGAACCACTTGACATCTGGACACGACCGGAGACGCGCCATTCGTCTCTCGCCGTCCCCAGTACCCTGCCAGTACCCCGCCAGTACATTGCTTCACGTTCTTTTCTCCTTCGCTCGTCATGGGCTTCTCGAGGAAAAGCGGCAAACTGGTAAGCGGTCGATCCCGTCTGGGAATTCCCCGGGGATCGACGGACCTCCGGGAATTCCCCCTCCCCTCCCCCGCGTCGACTCAAGAATCTCGAGTACTTGGACTATTTAGTTTTAACCGTCTTTTACCAACAAGATCCCCAATATTCAACGTCCGCGCGGCGAACTCGAAGGCGAAAAAAATTTCGTCAAGGAAGTTTCGTTCCTAAGAATTCCTCACGTTTCGCCGGAAAAGAGACGGCGAAACTTCTGCCAATTATTGCAGAAAACGGAAGTAGTTTCCGAGTCACGTACTTAAATTGGCGTGCACAGAAGTACGTGTAATAACAGTCGGACGCAACCCGGAGGTTTTCAGAGTCCCAAATAGTCGCGTGCCGAGGTCCTTCGAGTCGTTCCAGTTTCCGGCTCGACATTCGGCCTCGGACCGAAAAACGGCCTACGACAGTCGAAGGCCTCGAATTCCTCTGAGAGCTTCTCATTTCCTCATCGCCGAGGAGATTAAGAGAGAGCCCCGAGGCCACACCCATAAATCCACCCATAAGTGGGTGCAACGCCAGCATCCAGGCATCTCAGTTGCGGCAACCCGATCGCAGGGACTCGGCAGTGGACTCGACCGAGCCCACTGGCGGACTCGGCAGTGGACTCGATCGAGTCCACTGGCGGAAGGGAATCCGAAGGTAATTAACTCCGAGCCTCGGGGGACGAAAGATCTATGTCGCAACGAGGAAGTCCATCTCGTTACTTCAAGGTCGCCTGGCTTAAGTCGGCAACATGTTTCTTGAGTCACTTAAGCGGTCACTGACCTGGAAAAGGCCTTCTACGCTTCTTCGCTTCCTCGGAAGCAAATGTCCATTAACACCTTCGGAAGCAAAAATGTCCTTCAAAAGTGTTCCATCTTCAAGGACAAATGCCCATTTCCGAGTTGCTTCGCGGAATGGAAAATTCTTAAGCCCTTAAGCAGGGCCGACGAAGGCTCATCCGGGACTCTGTTGATTGGGGATGAGATGAGTGAATGCCCCGCATCCGCGGGTGAGGAGGATCATAAGCCCCTTCGCCATCGTCTTAATCGGTCCGCACCGTCACGGTTGAAAGGGCGATCGCTGCACCGCCCGCTGCACCGCGCTGCAGGCGGTGCAGCGATCGTCCGGCGCTCCTCGATAAGCACCTGCCAGGGTTTGCATTCTTCCGCGGAATTAAGCCATTATTAAATGGAATGGGCGGAATTCATTAATCAACTATCATCAGCGATCAATCATCAGCGATCATCGACGATCAATCATCAATTCGGATTTGAGAATTTTTTCTAAAGTATATTTTTCACCCTTTTCATAATCCTTTTATTAATATTTTTATCTCACTTTTCATCGTCTGCAAAGGAGATGCGCAGAGGGTGATCATTATTACGAAGAGGGCGATCATTATTACGAAGAGGGCGATCATTGCATCAGCTGCGCGACGAGCAAGGTTGAGAGATGGCTCGTTCTCCTCGGGTGATTTCGAAATCGGTAATGAGGCGATAACAGGTGGCTGCGCTGTTGATCTTCATAAATGTTGCATGGGAAATTCCATGGGAATTTCTGGGTCGGGCTGGAGTGAGGCCGTCGACGGTGAGGCCTTCTATGGGCAATTTACAGGGAGGCCTTCGACGGTGAGGGTTCGGGGATTTCCCCCCGTCGAGAGATACGCGAGGATCTCGAGAGGGCGGGACGCGAAGAGGGCGAGATAACGGGGAGGCCTTCGAGGCTGCTCCGATTCTCGAGACGCATTCCGAGGGAGACCGCAGGGAGGACTCGAGGGAAACCGGGGGAAGACTTCGAGGGCTGAGTGATACGCAACTTCCTTCAACGAGCCCATCGTCGCTTTTTATGCATCATGAGTCTAAGGGTAAGGAGACGTCAGAGGGGGCGCGGCGACGTCAGCATCGCGGAAATTCGCGGGTTGCGGAAATTCGCGGGAATTTCTGGTGATTCGAAGACAAGTTGCAGTTCCTTTTGTTTGAGTTTCCTCTCTCTAGGATGGATGAGTAAACTTACCATGAAAGATCCTCGTCCCTTCGACACCTCCCATGAAAGATCCTCGTCCCTTCGACACCTCCCATGAAAGATCCTCGTCCCTTCGACACCTCCCATGAAAGATCCTCGTCCCTTCGACACCTCTTGCGACGAATTGCTTCGTCGGCGGTGCTTGTTGTGAACAGTTTGTTGTGAACGAGTCGTTGCAGAATGAGCGCGTCGAAAAGCGACCGAGTCCATCTCGGATGAACCTGAACGACGTCTTTCGCAGTCTTCCGCAATTTTTGCAGTCACAAAATTCCCCCTTCGAGAATCTGAAAAGATCTCTCGGGCGGATGTAAGCCATCATTCCTGTGGATGGAAGGATACTTCTATTTATTCATTCAATTCAATTTATTTTCCATTTGTTTTTCCCCGATTCACTTGCAGTTTCTCGATCATCATTCGACATGTCCCTCGGTGTCGCACTTCTTAAATTCCATTTATCAGTTTCCAGTTTGGCAGTTTATTGTCCCGAATCGCGCGTGTTAGCTTTCGCGTTCGGTCTGGGAAATTTCATTTTGCCACTTTTTCAATTCCCTTTCGTCTGGCCATCATGAGATTTGACCGTCGCAAAGCGATCGCCCCCGAGCACAATTCCCCAAATCAGCGTCGGACGCATCCCGACTGGAATAAATCCTTAACTGACTTGTGTAGCCGCTTACCTGACTGGCTGTGATGTTTACCTGAATGGCTGTGATGTTTACCTGACAGGTAAAAAAAAAAACCTAACTAGCATCCCAGACTTTGGGTTTCCGCCTCGACGAGGCAGTAGAGTTTGGCCTTTCGTGGACTCTGTGTGGACTGGATGTGGACTCTGTGTGGGCTCGGTGGAGCCCTCGTGCGAAATATTAGCTTATGCAGAATGGGCTGCGCGGAAGCGAATGCTAAAATCACCCATTTTCGAATCGCGAAGAAAAAATGTTCGCGGATTCTAAGAAATATTACTCGCGACTCGGGGGTTACCGCAGGCATCCGCTCCGAGGCAATCTCTTCCGTCGCAGACGCAGAGGATTTCCGCGGGAACCGCCGGAAAGTCGGAAACGATGAATAGCGATAATCAGGGCAGGGCTCGACTCATTTCCCGTCGCTTCCGGCCGTTTCGTTACAAAACCGCCGCGGGCAAGGCCATAACCCCAGTCGACGGCGACATCGGCATCGGCGTCGTCAACGGCGATCTTGCGTGCATCACCGGAACTCGTCCCCCCGCTCCGCCCCTCTCACATCCCCGCGTGCCTCTCAGGTCCCCGCGTGCATCCAGACCCCACGTGCATCCAGACATCCGGCCGCATCCAGACATGTCTCACGATCGACTCTCCCTAAGAAACTATCCCCAACTCCTGGTTTGTTCTTTATTTATTTTTCTCTCCCTTCTCAATCTCAATTTTTTTTAGGGCTGTCAATTCGATTATATCAATCGACCGATTAATCGATTAAAGTGTTAATCGCTATTAAAAAATTAGTCGAAATTAATCGAATTTTAACCCTTTCAGACATGAATTAAGGCCGCCATCGGAATAATATCCTTTTTTGCATTTTTGAGCTTCTCCGTGATAGTAATTGAAATGTTCATGCTTTATATGTAGTTTTCATCATTTATATAAATTTACCATATCATACCATATCATTATATATTACAATTTATTTAAATACCTGAAGATTACAAAACTAATGGATGAAAGAGGGCCTCAGACAGAACTGAGCCATGCATAATATGAAGCGCAAAGTCACGAGAATCCTAAGAAATTGCCAATTGACAAAATGTAAATGCAATGTCAATTGGAATGGACGCCAGGTCTTATCTGAATGCCTCCTTATCCTCTTATATTTTTACTGTGTAGTCTTGCAAAACAACCGAAAGCGAATCGAGGGAATGAAATGTAGCGATGGCTTAATAGGCGGTAGTCGTTTTCGTACAGCTTAATTTTCCTCGGGAACGTCATACTATTTTTTGGGAAAAAAGGGGAAGGCACAAAAACGAAGCCATCGCTTTCAGAAATCAAAATAAAAAAAAAAAAAATCTTGCTGACCCCTTCGCATCCACAAGTAGGCATCATGGGTCCTTCCGCCGAGCCTCCGGCCTTTAAAGGCATGGCCTTGCGGGCCTCGCGCGTCGGGTCAAGGTTAACAGCGGCCTGGGGCAGAGCGACCAAAAAGTCGATGGATTCGAATGGGGAAAAAAAAAGTTGCAGCGAAGACGCTGCAAAGGAAAGCACAGAAGAGTTGGGCTGGGACTGGAAAGCGGACCGTGTAAAGTACTGAGGAGTACGTGTAAAGTAACCTTCCTCCCATTTTTGCATCCTTCCCTTATGGGTTGGCTAAATGGCAAACGGCCTCGGTGCCGTTTCGTTTTTTCATCTGGCCGAGTCGCAACTATTTCCTTTCCCACTGGAACGCGTCACTTGCAGGACGATTAATCGACCGATTAATCGATGAAATGGCCCGCGATTAATCTATCAATTTTTTTTAATCGATTGACAGCCCTAATTTTTTTCATATTTAATATTTAACGAATATAAAATATTTAAATACGTTCTCGCCGAGAAGGAATCCGGCCCGAGTTGCGACAGAGTCCGCGTAACCGAAACGTGTCTCGCGGTTTATCGAGTCGGTTAAATGAATCGTGTCGCAATGTCGCTCTAATAAGTACGAATGCGGTCACGTGACCACATCACGTGACCGGCTGCGGCGAGCATCTATTTTAAAATGTTTTTATTATCTACTTAGTAATTTAGTTTAATATTTTTATTATTTATTTAGGTGCATCCTTATCATCTTTCGTTCCCAAAAATTTTCGCTCATCTGAAAAAATATGGATGTCGCACTTTCGTCGAAAGGATGTGTCGATCCTGTCCGCAAAAAAATTGGCGAATTCGATGAACCGTGTCGACACTGTCTCTTTTTTTTGCGACGACGGTGTCGTCTCGCCTTTCACGTGGGAACCAGAGACAATTTTATTCCGGGACACGGAACGTACTCCGGGACCCGGGTGTCCCCGATCTATTCCAGGGCGGATCGAGGGCGGATCGAGGGCATGGATCGATTCGAGTCCGACGAGATCGGCGATATGGGTCAGCGCGTTGAATAATTCATCAAAGAGGATAATCGGGCAATATTGCCAGCGTCGATTGCCCTAGTGCTTCTTCGGTACTCGCAAAGTACGACCGCTGTCCATCCAGGGACGCAGAACCGCCTTCGACATCGACAAACCAGCTTCCCCTCGGGCAGCCCGTCGGAAAAACCGAAAGGATGAGCCAGTTACAGGGTGTCGCAAAAAATCCTTCGCCTTTTATTTTCGACATTCACCCGTTGCCATTATACGGTTTCGCAAAAAGCGATTATTTTTTTTGGAAATTGGGAGTGGATGGGGGAATCGTGTTTCTGCCCGATTTAAACTTCCAAATTTTTTAAATTTTAATTATTGCCTGATATTTGCATGATTGCTTTGCTTCAGCACAATTTTCATGGGATTTCGCAATACTGATGCAAATATATTTGCCGATTTCGGAGCTGAGTTTTGTCGGTAAAATTTTCACCGGAGAAAAGTCTTATAAATAATGGTTGAAATTTTTTTGCCGCACGCTGTACGCATTCCACCGCTTCCATGGAAAGAGACCCCGTTTTCATCAGGGCTGTCATATGACAGCCCTGCGGGATTTTCCGTGACTAGTCATGTCAACGGGAAATCGCCACCGGAAGTTCTTTTTTCCTCTCCAAATCAGATTAAATTCAAATGCGTGCGCTCTACGTCGAAATCGGCATTGAAAAGATAATTAATATTAATTAAAGCTTATTGAAAGGTAATTGAAGGGTAATTGAAGGGTAATTATGGGTTTTGGCACCAACGTGCCCGGGAAATTCATTTCATGGATCCGGATGCGAGGCAGAGCAGTGCACACCAATAAATTGCGTCTGGGAACGAATTCATGGGAATTCATCGGCATGAAGAACGTTGAGGTGACACCTTGCACCTCATTTCTGGAGGTGCTTCGTGCTCATTTCATGAATTCGTTGACACTTTTCGCTGAAGGAGCGAAATCCTGTGCAATTAAATTGCAAACCAACTGTAGATGAATTGCAAGTGATTTGCAAAAATTAATTGCAATTTAATTTCTTCCCTTGCACTTTTCGCTGGTAATCGCCGAGTGTGCTGTCTCAATATTTTCCTTTCCCACTTTTGCATTTGCATCTGAATTGGACGATGAAACTTTCATTTGTATTCGAGACTCGCTTCTCGTACCTCGTTGTCATTTTCGTTGCGTAAGTGATAGGATGGCTTGGCGATTTTTTTAGCATTCCCTTTTGAAGGTCACCAGGTTGCCGATTTCAGGGCATTACCACAGTTTATACATATAAATATATTATTATTATTAAACATTTTTATATGATACCTGCCACGACCCACAGCCCGGTTGGCATCTTAAAACTATCCGATCCGGTCCGGAAATCCGGCAGAAACCGTCCGGCCTCCTCGCCCCCACCCCGGCTCATCACGACGCGACAAAATCCACGATAACGCCTCCCAAAGCCCCTCACCTGCGCATTCAAGAGCCATTAAGTCACCCGACCCTGAAGTATCCTCCTTGCGCAATGCGAGCAGACAGCCAGATATCATCAATGACCCGATATCACGCGAACACTCCACGCCAAGGAATGAGACGAGCGACCTTTGCCCTCTTTCCACGAACGCGCGAGGCGAGAAGCAATCGCATTCCAAAGAATCCATGGAATTCTTCGAATGCAGAACGATCGCGGATCCTCGTTGAAAATAGCCTAACAAGAGATGACTTGCTAAAAAAATAGCCTTATAATTAGAATTTGTTTTTGAGAATAGTCTTACACGTGGCTTATGTGACAGAAAACAGCCTTACACGTGGCGGACGTGCTTTTAATTGTGATTTTTTTTTGTTTTCAGAAAGTGACGAGTTATGCGAACCAGGCGTTTGACACGTCCGGGGAGGACCCGGCCAAGCTCGCGGATGGTTCGGCCACCAATGGAGTTTTCGTAGGTTTCCGTGTCTTTCAACGATTGGCTTCTATGTGGATAGGAGACTGTCATGATTCTGTCACCGAAACTGAAGAAATATAAAAACTAATTTTTGAGTCAGTAAACTAAAACTGGAAACTGGACCTCCAACCTTGCAAAAGAACTAAAGGTAACACTAATTGAAAATATAAAGTCCAACGGAACTAAAATCCGAACGAAACCATCCTTTTAAACACGCAGTGAAATTCAGCTGCTTAAAAAAACCAGACTAATTACGGTGCGCTCGCAGGTGATCGGGGGAGAGAAGCCTCCCCCGTACGAAGAGACTCCAAAGGACGAGGAAGCCGGGGGTGCAGACCGCCCGCAATGGAACAACCAGCTCGAGTTCCTCCTCTCCTGCATCGCCATGTCGGTCGGGCTGGGGAACATCTGGAGGTTCCCATTCATCGCTTACGAGAACGGCGGAGGGGCCTTCCTCATCCCCTACCTCATCGTCCTTTTCGTCATCGGGAAGCCGCTCTACTTCCTCGAGCTCGTCATCGGGCAGTTCTCCTCCTTCGGCTGCGTCCGCATGTGGTCCGCCGTCCCTGCAATGAGAGGTGGATGTCTTGCTAGGAATCATCATCAGAAGCGTCCATGCTCCCAAATGATAAAATTAAAATATAAAATAAAAAAATTTTAATTTTTCACTCGCAAAAATTGTAGCGGGTTATTTAGAGCTGGTTTAGGTAAATTTAATCTAGGTTAATTTAGGTTAATTAGAGCTGCAAGCACGACTGAGACTTTCGAAGTCGATTTTCACGACGATTTTATATTAGCATTGGTTCGTTGAGTCTGTGAGAGCCTGATCGCAAAATGCTCTCATCTATATACACAAATAGAATGTCAACAGGTCCGCACGCCATGCACTGGATCCTGAAGTACACAAATTCCCCGTTTTTTTTTCAGCTGCAAGATAAACTTGAAACTCTAGATTAACCGTCTCTTATTACTCTCGAGTCATATCTTTCCCTCAAATACCTTAGAAGTCTTATCGAGGTGCTTTAAAGTTATGGCTGAGATTCCATTGCGCAACGATTTTGAGCACGACGCATTAGGCGCCCATCGGACGAGTTGCGACGTAATTCCGGTCGCGGTCAGGAATGATGCATTCTTGGGTTTCCCCCCCACCCTGTCCGTCCAAGGGCATCAAGATTCGCCTAATCTCAATGAATAACTGAGCTGACGTCATTTAGAATGACTTCACGGTCTTGAGAGTCAGTGCGACGAAATCTTACTTTCTTGCCTTCGGTATTTTCGTCGCTGCTTCGTCGCACAAAGAAGCGTTTTCCATGAACGCACGATTAAGAACCAAACGGGTTTGTATTCGCGAAGAACTTAAGCGTACTTTCTTAACGCAAAATGGTATCTGAACTTTAAATATATTCTTATGTACTTTCTGAACATTTTATCACGGATGTGGACTTTCAACACAAGCGTTCACAATGTCACAAATTAGCCGTCTTTTCTCGCCGAGATATCATTCATTTCTAAGCAATCATGACAAATTCATCTCCAATATTCATTTTAATATTAGAATTTTAACTTCAGAAAAATTCGGGATTCGTAAATGGCGACTTAAGCGGCACATCAAATAAGTCCTTTAACAATCTAACTTAATCAACTGAATCGCTTAAAGTATGAGCACATATTTGCAGTATCCGCTGAATAGACGGTTTAATTACCTTTTGCAGGCATTGGCTACGGACAGATGGTTGCAACCCTCGCCGTGGTAACGTACTACGTGAGCATCATGGCGACCTGCGTCTTTTACTTCATCAAGTGCTTCAATAAAGAACTCCCTTGGGCGGAATGTTCGAACGAAACTCTAAGCGCCAATATGACGTGTTCCGAAAACTACTACAAGTGAGTCTTCTGTCCATTTGCCATCTGCTGGGCCTTTCATGTCGAAACTTGGGAATTCGATCCGGTGTTCCGCATTCTGAAATGTAAGCATGCAAGCAAGCATAGAAGCAGATTATGAGCATATCGAAGCATTTTACTCTTTGCCGTTCAAGGCCGGTTCTGTCATGCGTTCCGCTGCCAAGCTATTCTTCAACAAACTATAATAATTTCATTATAGCTGGGAATTTTCAAGTTTGGCATTTCCCATGTCTACATGTTTTCACATTAATTCCCAGTGGATTATTGCATAATATCATATGGGACATTCGTATTTAAACCCTTCTACTCGAATGCCTCTTTGTGTTTCTAGGAACGAAGTGTTGAAACAGTATAATTCAACTCAAGGCCTCGACGAAGGACTGGGAGCGCCAGAGTGGAGGCTGACCCTGTGCCTCCTCTTCTCCTGGGCCATGATCGTCTTCTCTCTCATCCGAGGAGTTCAGAGCTCTGGAAGGATCTCGTACTTCACCGCCTTGTTCCCTTACGTCGTGCTCATCACCTTGCTCATCCTGGGAGCTACGCTCGAAGGCGCCGTGGATGGTATCAAGTACTTCATCACACCCCAGTGGGGAAAACTCGCCCTGGGAAAAGTGAATCAGCTCGATTTCTGTTCTTTTTTTTCGTTGGAAAATCGATACGGAGCTTCCGTTTCCTTTCAGGTTTGGTTCGCGGCAGTGTCTCAGTGTTTCTTCTCCCTCTCGGTCGGTTTCGGCTCCATTTCCATGTATGCTTCGTACAATCCATTCAATCATAATGTATACAGGTGAGAAATACTGTCGATTTATCACGGGGTCGAGTTGAACCTGGTGTTGTTATCCATAAAACCTAGAATGCGCTGTCAATCGCTTTTTAGCTGGCATTCGCTCTGGTTCTAGAAATTAGCCTACGAAAGTGGAAAACCGAAGATGCCGAAGGTATTTTAGAGGCAATTGTTTCATTTTGGTACAACATTGGTAACTTTTGAAAAGAAAGAAATTGACAATCGCAGAGGAGCTTCTTCGTCTGTCGCATTAGTTTTCGGTACTAACACATAAACTCGGCACTCGCCTGTGACACCTGCTACAAATTTGACCCTGAAACTGAACTTGTGACCTTCTTCGATCCGAATTCATTCACGTGCTCTTTGCTTTTCAGGGATGCTATGATCATCAGCGTGATGGACACATTCACGAGTCTTTTGGCAGGGTTCTCCATTTTCTCCATCCTTGGGAACTTGGCCCATACCTCGGACAAAAAAATAGATGAAGTCGTAAAGGCAAACACTGGGCTCGCCTTCATCTCCTATCCAGATGCCATCACCAAATTGGAGGCCGTTCCACAGGTGCTTTCTCGTTTTTGGTCGTTTCAACCCCGCAACTGGTACTGTTGGGTCGTAAGAGTCGATGGCCGAGAGATGGCGTTTGTGATAAATGTTCCATCCCGGTACCTTCATGTGGCATTATGACCTTTATTAAGAAGTAATCTATTAAACTGTCACAATAACTAACTTTTCATTCTAAAAAGCTTAATTTCTTTAAATATATTTTTTTTATTGCTGGGGTCACTGTACTAGTGGCATAAAGAGATAAACAAGGATACCTTTTGAGGGTTAAATGCTATTGTAGTGATGGTTGATGTGATTTTATATGACTTCACATTTTATTTCACAGCTGTTTGCGGCGATTTTCTTCCTGATGTTGTGGACTCTCGGGGTGGGGAGCGCAGTTGCCCTGATCGGCTGTGTCATCACTGTCATTTGTGACAGATTCCCCTCGTGGGACAGGAGGATTGTCACTGTCGCCCTGTGCATCTTCTCTTTCCTCATCGGCCTTACATACGTCACACCGGCGAGTATCACGAATGCAGCTTCGAAATTGAATTTCAACATTGTCGTAATGAAGGCTTTCCCTTTATATCTAGGCCGGACCTTACGTACTGGGACTCGTGGATTACTTCTCTGGAGGTTTTGTCATCTTCGTTCTGGCCCTGCTGGAAGTGGTTTCCATCAGCTGGATATACGGTATGAATTTAATGCCTCTCTCAGCTGTTCGTCTCCACCTCCTTTCAATTCATGCTCTCTCTCGCTTAGGTGTGGGGAGGATATGCTCCGACGTGCAGTATATGCTCGGGGTGTATCCCGGATGGTACTGGAGACTGTGCTGGGGTTTCCTCACGCCTCTCTCCCTGCTTGTCATTCTCATCTACTCCTTGGTCAATCTGGAACCACCGTCTGCTGAGAAATATGAGTTCCACGGCGCTGCTTTGGGTGAACGACCATTTCTTTTCCCATTCTGAAAATTTTTAAAATAGGATTCCAGAGAAGAGAAAGATTACAAAAAAAATACAGCAGCATATCTAGAAAGCTGGATGGGGGCAATTGTAAAAAATTTATCTGAAACTCCCAATACCAGGACGAAATGCTTCTGACACGAGAAAGTGGAAATATCTTAGGAAATGCAAGGCTTGTTAAGAATAGCACGTTTAAGCATCGTATAACTTGAAGTTGTAGCAGAGTTCGATTTCTCCATTTCCAGTTGGCGGCTGGTTGTTGGCTGCATTGGCTCTTCTTATGCCTGTCATCTCCTTCCTGCACACATATTTCACACGAGATGGCACATCCGCCAAAGAGGTAGGTCCTCGTAAAAAAAAGTCTCATTTCGCTTTCAGGCTCTGATGCCCCATTCCCCCCGACAGAAATTCCTGATGAGTTTCCGCTACAAAGAGGATACCTGGGGACCGAAGAACTCGAAGGACCGACAGGGATGGTTGGAGTTCAACGAACGCCACCGCCATAGGAACAGGTGGATCCCGCTGCTGGGATGCAATGTGGACTAGGTAGTTGCGAGCTCTGGAAGCGTTCTTTCGTAAATATTCAATATTTTTGTATTGATTTTCGTGATTGATTCTCCAATCCATGATGACAATGGAATGCGTTGACTGTATTGTCTATCTTTGTTGTCATTTTTAAACGACTGGGGTTCCGCGGTCAACATTCATGGAGCGACCTGGGATTGAAAATGATTTCATGACTTTCTTTTGAGAATCTATTGAGAATATAAAAAAATCTGCAAAGCGGTTTAAAACAGTGGAGGCTTAGCAGCAATGCGGAATCCGCTTTGTGCATTGATTCTCCTTAATTATTTGAGGAAAATTATTTTACATTTAGTAATCGTTTAAGTTTTTCAGAAAAAACTTCGATCCTTCAGCAGAAACGATACGTCCTCCAGGGGGTTACGTTCTCCACCTCCACCCCTCAGAATCCTACGCTGGTTGCAATGCCTTTCGTTGGAGGAGCCGTGTGGCGATGCCTACGCCGTCTTCAAGAAAGATGATACAAAAATACTCAACTGGATGGAAACGTCGGGGTATGCCCATCACCTAAGACGTGCCAACATCCAGAACGAGTTGCGACTTGAAGATATAATATGGTATATATAAGGACATTATGGTCGAAATTCATTACGATTACTAGTGTCGCTATTGAATCGGACTCTCTCTACGAGACGGCCAATTTCGACAGGTCTCATTCATTTCAATGTCAAATATGATTTAATGATAAATACCAGAAATACTTTGGGAAGATCTTGTGCGAAGGCCGGATGGAGGCCAAAAACGGTTTCCGTAAAGCAGCAACGCCGCCGCTCTGCCATCTGGCGGATAACAAGGGAAGCATGAC